TGTGGAACAAGTTGGATTTTGTGTTTCTTAAGATCTTGGACTTTTGTGCAGCACCCTGAGACAACTGTTTGTTGTGATACTGTGCTATATAAATAGATTTGATTGATTGATTGATTGGTATGTCTCCTACTGTAATATAGTTTGGGCAAGTACATTTCCTACTACCCTTTACAGAATTCTGGACCTTCAGAAATGCTTTATTAGAATTGCAACCCGTTCCGAATTGTATGCTGCATCCATTCCTTTATTCAAAGGACTTGGAATCCTTACTATTAATGACATCAATATACTTCAAATCTGTGTTTTTATATATAAGATATATAAAACTAAAGAACATATTCCTGAGCAGTTTATATTCTATTTTAAAGCAAATTCACAGGTTAATTCTTAGGCAACTAGGCAAGCTGCAGATCTTCACCCTCCTCAATTTCGAACAAGTCAAGCTCAGTTCTCAATACGTTATAGGGGTGCTAAACTATGGAATAACTTTTCACATCTGGCATTGAAATGTTATACTATTAAACATTTTAAAAGATGTTTAAAGGCTCATTTAATTGCTAGTTTATAGGTGGTTCTCTATAGTACTTTTGTCTTAGTTTGCTTACATGCTCATTCTTTGAATTTGTATTATTTAATATTTCTTTCATTACTTAAATGTGTTGTTGTTTTGTGGTTTTTTTTTTGTGTTTGTTTGTTTAAATTTAATCCTGTGGTTTATTTTAATTTTTTAGGTGGAGGCTTTATATAAGCCTGTTTGGGCTTTCTGCCTCTCCCTGCACTGATCTTTTTTGGTCTTTTCTTTGTATTTATATCTATCTATACATCAAGTGCTAAATGAATAAATAAATAAATGGCCACAGCCTGAGGCAATGAACYCCAGCCCAGGCCCTGAGAGAACAAAAGAGACATTTGAATTGTCAARGTCTCAGTTTGTCTTGTATAAGATCTTTGTCTGTGGGCAGGTAAATACATGTTTTACAGACACAGTCTCTAAGGGCCTATTCTACTAAGATCCAAAATAAGAGTGGTTGGCGTGCGTTACATGTTTACACCATGGAGCGTTACAGAGAGCAAAGTGACCAGAAGCACAAAGTGAAATTTGATGGAGGTGTTAGTGGAAGAGGCAAACAAGCATGTTGTTGAGCTACAGCAAAGAATTAATATAACTCAAAGAGACATGATATGGGAGAGTGTCTGCGTGAAAGGAAATGTTGTGGGTAAAACGAGCTTGCATGTTTTTCTGCGGGTTAAATCAAGTTTGCACTCGTTTTTACACGGGCAAACCTTTAGTAGATCAGGCTCTAAGTTTCAAATCATACCTGAATCAACAACCATGTTGATGGGAATTCCCTGAGCCTGAGCCATGAAGCCCAGAGTGGAGAAGACTGCAAACCCAGCAGTGAAGCTGGTGCAACTGTTGAGCACACACAACCACAGACTGTCCCTGCACAGACAAACACACACAGCTTTGAAATGCCCATCTCTGAGATCTTTGACATTAATGAGGTTAATATAAGAAAGGTAAAGTGCAGATTTGAGCTAAATTACATTCCTTCATTCTTCCCCCCAGTATTGTCATGATTCAGTTGTTCTTATATATGTTTGCAGATATTTTGGGAGAATCTCATACCTTTTATTTAATTGCGGTGAGTAGTGGAATGACATGGATTCATTCCACTAAAAAAAGGTTTGGGTAGTCGGTGCACTGCTCCTCATTGGTGGTGCAGATCAGGACAAACGGTTGGAGGGGTTGYGATTGTGGATTGTTTAACCTATTTTTGTTCTCCTGTCCACATACTTAATTCTTACCCCTGGCGGCAGTGCCAGCAGTGTATGATTGATGTATGAAAGTGCTGCACACAGATGCACTGTGTGAATGTGTGTGTGAATGGGTGAATGGCAAAACTGCTCTGCAAAGCGCTTTGATTGGTCATCAATACTAGAAAAGAACTTTATAAATACAAACAATTTAACAATTTAGTAATGCTTGCTTTCTGAACCATTCTGTTTGGCTGTCTGTCCACCTGATCAAACCTGCTTTTCTTTGTTTTCAGGTCTGCCATTTTCTCCCTACCTAACATGCTCAGCYAGCACACTCCACAGCCCACTCAGACTGCACCCTCTGTCACTGTACTATGTGCCTTGTATTGTCTGGAGAATCTCGTCTGGACTGAAACCTCTAGTCTTGCTCTACAGCTTTGTGGGGATAAAATTAGGTTGGACTGTGTTGAGTCAAACTCCAATAACACAGCTTCAACAATGTATGAATGGAACACATTCAAAAAGACAATCAAAACATATTTGGTGTGTTGATCAAAAGAAAAGTAATTAATAGCAATTATGAAAATTGTGTGATTCATCCTTGATAGGGTTTTTTGCATTRCATCAATTATCATTAGAGAGCAATTATGGCTCCCTGTTTTTGCATTTAAGTCTAATATTACATAAACACAGAATGACAGGACATTAAGTTGCAGTACATAGGGTGAATTTGGGTAATTTTGACTTGTGTGACTTATTCCTTATTCTATCTGTTTTACATATTAGATCAACATATATAKCTATTTCTGTAATCTTTAAGATGTTTTCTAACATCACCAGAAGAAATAATGGAGATATCATACTCAGAAGAGACAAGACACAGCTTTTAGTGTTCATGGTGTAGAAAAAGAAAATTCTGCTATAAAATTCTATATTTGATAATCTTGCACAGGTCACTTTGTAATCTGGGACACTTGTATTTGGCCTTAATCACCTTTCTTTATGAAAGTCAAGTTCAATATTACCATATTTACTTATACATATACATGTATATATGTCAAAGGATGGGAACATTGAAGCAGCAACAAGTGCCACAGCAMCTTATTTGCACCAGGGCAGATCCGCATMAATATGGGAAAGAGAGAAGAGAGTTTTATTCTTTATTGGACTAATCTGTAAACTAAGAATGGGTAAAAACAACATATGTTTTTCTTCACAAATGTTTTGCACACAGAGCGGGGGAAGTGAGTTCTGTCTTTATTTATTTATTTTTTTCATGCCATGTGCTGCAAAATGTATACAAATGTTTTGTACTGTGTTCATTCCTCTTTATAGACAGTCTATGGTTCATTCATAAATATAATTCATACAACATGGTGTGTTGGCATGACTCTATGGGGATATGTCAGAAAAAGAGGAGAAAATCCTTTTTGAAAATATCTATTAGTCTTAAAGGGATAGTTCACAGAAAATAAAAATGTCCTCATCTACTCGATYGAGGGGTGGGTGAAGTGTTTGATTTCATAAAACAATTTAGGTAAACAGCGTTGCAGCCAAGGTGACCCCTTCTTCAGACGTAATAAAACAATATTGTTATGGAAAATCTGCTGATCGATGGTCAACTCATCAATGAAGAAAGCATTCAGGATGTCTTGTGCTGAAATATTTATTGAAGCCTGGCCAAGGAGAATATCAGAATTCATCCACACAACATCTGTGCATGATGCTCCCTCATACTCTGAAGTCTGCTTTCCTGCAGTCACACTTTACACCCCAACAGATCATTGAATCTATGGCTGTGCTTGTTCCTTAACAATCAAACGTATTTTCTAGTTCTGGAGACAGTATTGCTGCTTACGCAGTCTCATATCTGTGATGTCTAGGGAGTGAAGGCTTTGACCTTCGCCAAGCTCTGACACTTCCCAAACACAACAGCCTGTTGCACTCTGCCCCAGAAAGGAGAAGAGACAGTGTCTATGAAAATTTCAGAACAAATACTGCTCGTGTGGTGTCATCCAAGTGTTCGCAAGCCCTGACATTAATATTCGATTGGAAACGCCTTCATTTGGCTGCAACACTGTTTACCCTTGAAACTCCAAAAGTGTTTTGTGGACTCAAACACTTCACCCACCCCTCCATTGGCATAGCAGTGAGTGGATAATCAGTGAATTTCCATTTTTCAGTGAACTATCCCTTTAACATCTTAATGTGCCTTAATACTCTAGGTATCCAAAATTGGCTGCCAAAACACAACAAACTGGTTTCAGATCTGGCACTGGCTCTGAACTGCCCCTGGAACTTGGTGCCTCCTCATTAACTGTATAAATAATTTACCTAGGAACTGCCCATGTTATTTGTTACCTCCACACTTTGAGAAAGGCTGCTCTAAAACATGTAAATAAAAGAAGAATGAAGCCTATCTAAATGTGTTTTCTTTTGTACTTTATTCAACATCCTGTCTATTCTGTTTAATACATGTTGACCCTGTTTGGCCCTCGACGTGGCCCAGCTTTTAATTTTGGCCCTCTCTGTGATTGAGTTTGACACCACTGGTCTATACAGTAGTATGTAGAAAGTTTGAGGAAACTTTGTGTTCAGCCTTAGATGCATTAGTAGGACAACACTGTACTGCAAGAAGGAGTACTGTCTATTATCTTCAAAATGATGAGGGAACAACACCGAATGTTAATGGCAGTACAACAAGCGAGCATTTGCAGTAGTTGTGGCTCCTCCCTCTACAGTCATATTATTAACGGATGACTGAGATATGTGCTGACAGTAGTGATCAGCGCATTGAGGAGGGAACACAGACATGGAGACCAAAGTGAATAAAAGGGAACAGTGGATAAAGAAAAGGGAATATATTCTGGCAGCTGCAGGCCATTTGGTAGGTCTGGGCAATGTGTGGAGATTTCCCTACCTCTGCTATAAGAATGGAGGAGGTAAGTTGAAGGACTGTAACTATTTTTTGAGAGATGATAAATAGTCAAAAGGATTAATGGTTAAAGTCACATCCCTAATCTAATAAGATGATATATCAGTGGTTGTAAGTTGAAAAAACTACTGCAATGTGGATTTCCACGTCCTCTCTTCTGTATCTCTCTGGAGCTCCAGACAAAACAGGCAGGTTTTGTTTGCCTTATTAGCAATGCCCTCTGTTTGGCATTTTTTTGGCAGCATGCTCAGGCTGCCTGGGCAGCTTTTAGTTTTAAGCCAAGAGACATTTTTTTAAATCAAATCTACTTCCTATTAAAAAATAAATCTCAGAGAGAGCCACAGGATCCCTCTCCCAAGACGGACGGAAGTGCAATAGATGCCACGTGTAATGGAGAACGGCAGAAAAATAACAGTATTTACAACATTGATTAAAAGAAACAATAATAATGAAAAGTGTGTCTATGTTTGATGGAGTGAGGCCACAGCTCTGAGGAAGAAGTTGTTTCTCAGTCTGTTTGTGCGGGATATTACTGTCCTGTCTCTTCTCTCCGATGGCAGGGGGACAAACAGACTGTTGCCTGGGTGGGTTGGGTCCTTGCTGATATTGCTAGCTTCTTGTGTAGACGGCTAGCATATACTGTGTCCAGAGTCGGGAGCTTGGTTCCCACGATCCTCTGTGCTGTCTTGACAACTCGGGCCAAGTCTCAAAAAGGAGAGCCTCAGTTGAGCTTTGATGTGGATTCCCAGGAACTTGATGTCATTCACACTGTCCACTTCCTCGCCGTTTACATGGAGAGGGGGAGGTGTGGTCTTCCTGGTTCTCCTGAAATCCACAATGATCGCTTTGGTTTTTGAGGTGTTGAGGACCAGGTTATTGTCAGTGCACCACTCAACCAGATGTTGTACTTCCTCTCTATAGTGCACTTCCTCATTGTCTGAGATCAGTCCTACTATAGTAGTGTCAATAGCAACTTCACTATGGTGTTAGAGGAGTGGATGGGTGTACAGTCATGAGTGAACAGGGTGAAGAGAGCAGGACTGAGCACACAGCCCTGCGGTGCTCCTGTGTTCAGGATGATAGTGGAGGATGAGTGGTTGCCCATTCTGACGGTTTGTGGTCTGTTTGTGAGGAAGTCCATAATCTATGAGCAGAGTATGGTGGATAGTCAGAGGTTTTATAGTTTGTTTACCAGTTTGTGTGGGACTATTGTGTTGAATGCAGAGCTGAAATCAACAAATAGCATCCTGGCATATATATTTGAGTGCTCCAGATGAGACAGGGATGTATGAAGTGCTATTGAGACAGCATCCTCTGTAGATCTGTTTCCCCGGCTGTCCAGATCAGTGGGGATGTTGGCCTTGATGTGGGAAAGCACAAGTCTCTCAAAGCACTTCATTGCAATTAGTGTCAGGGCTATGAGGTGATAGTCGTTTTTCAGGGTGCGGCCTGATACCATGTCTGTTCCTGCTGCTTTGGTGATATCAATCTTGAACAGAGTGGATCTCACCTGGTGGCGCTGTAGAACGAGTCCTTGGTGGTGAGCATGGTCTCAGTACAGAAGGCTATATAAGCCAGGACAGATGAGCTATATTCCTCCAGGTCTGTGCTCTGCGCAAACAAGTCCCAGTCTGTGCTTTCAACAATCCTGCAGTAGTGAAGTGGATTCTTCCCTCCAGACTAGGACAGTTGGTCTTATTCTGCAGATTAGAGGTCTGTAGGATGGGGTAAATTCCAGTGAGATGTGGTCTGATAGGCCAAGGTGGGGGGATGGTACCATTTTATGTGTGTCTGGGATGTTTGTGTAAACCTGATCCAGAATGTTCTTTTCTCTGATTGGAAAATTAAAATTTTCTGCAGTTTGGGCATTATAGTCTTAAAGTCTGTATGGTCTCTAGAAGTACACCAGTTGTTGTTCGCGTATAAACGTACTCTTCCGCCTTTGCTCAACAGTCCTGTCCACTCGGTAAACACTGCGGCCCGCTAGTGCGATAGCTGCATCGGGATGGTGCTGTGGAGCCAGGTCTCTGTGACGATCAGAGACTCGGTATTGATGGTCTGTGGGGGTACGCTCATAGCCTAGCTCTGAGGAGAGGTGAAATAGTGTAGTGTGAACCAGGCTTTAAAGAAACATTGTCTGACCAAACAATAATTTTGAATGGAGATACCTTGGCCTCCAGGCCTACTCTAAGGAACCTATTAGATGAGGACATGTCTATTTTACTTACACATAAAACAAGTCTTGTGGACAACCTTCTTCCACCTGCACAAAATTATGAAAATTAAAAACATACTTTCACAGGAGGGTGCCAACACGTGCTGGACTAAACTCTGCCCAGTTGCAAGTGACAATCATTGTTTCTGATTATATTGCCACTGTCAAAAGCATTTTTGTGTATTTACTACTTGTTTAAGGCCACTGCTGTACATGTATGTTATAATGATAATAATTGCTTACAAATAACAAGGGCTATCTTTGCAGTTTGCCACAGTGGGCAACAACAAACTGTGAAGGTGGCTCAGAGAGCACCTCCAGGTGAACCAGGGGGAGTTTATTGGCACAGCTGAGATWAGTTGGCCAATCAATTCTCCCTGGCAGAGGAGGAGAAACACAAAAGACACATTAGAAGAAAGAGACCACGCTGAGCTGCAGAAAAACTGCTAGACCCTTTAAGTTTAGCGTTTTGAATTTATGTTTGTTGCAGTTATATAAATAAAATGTTAGATCATCTCTGGCTGCTGTGGGGAGACCCCGGTGGCAACGTCCTTCACCACACAAAAATGTAATGTTTTAGTGTATATGGACTGAGCTAATCACCATACTAAACACGAGTAGATCTTTAAGTTGTTGGAAACTTTCCTTTGAGATTCAGCTTCATGTTGTCAGGACTGCATTACAGTCTTTGCAGCTTCCTTTCCCCTTCAGGCTGACAATCTGCCTGTTCTACCACATTCCAAAGGTYTTTTCACGTCTCACTCRTCTTAGCACTATGGCACATCAAAATACCTATAGCCTACATGTCGTAATGTCCTCTGCAAGAAGAATTTTGCATCAGTGAACATCCCTACTATTGTTAACAGACAGGCATACTTGGATAGTATAATGCTGACATGCTCAGAGAGCAGTCATTTCGAATTCAGTGCCACTAACTTCTTGAAACATCAGCAAATCTTTTCGTAGATTAGATAGGAAATATAAGAATTAGGGGAAAAGCTGATTGATTAATCTGCAGTGGATGGACAAATGCATGCATGGATAGATCCAAAATTATTATATCTTTTTATTAGAATTCTATCAATCCATGTGTGAGTGTAAATCATCCATGCACTGACTTTATCAACAGCTGATGTAATGCAGCCTATTATTGTGTGTGCAGGTGTCTTCATGTTGCCTTATATCTTCTTTGCTGTGCTGTGTGGTGTGCCACTCTACTTGCTGGAAAATACGATCGGTCAGTTTACACAGGAGGGTGCCATCACCTGCTGGACTAAACTCTGCCCAGTTGCGAAAGGTATTTATCATTTATAATCATAATGCCAGTGTCAGAAGCATGTTTGCATATTTACTACTTGTTTGGAGACCTACATAGGCCCACAGTCCATCCATTGCCACAATGGGCCACAACAAACATTTTTTTATTGTATATACACTATGCATGAGCTAATCACCATTCTAACACTGATTTGATCCTCCAAGTTGAKGGAAATGTTCCTTTGAGACAGCTTAATTTTGTAATGACTGCATTACACTGTTTGCATCTTTCTCAGCACACTCAAGCTGKAAATCTGCCTGWTCTACCATATTCCAAACGTGTTAGTAATTGTACAAGTAACATTAAAAATATGTGTAAATCCGTGTATCATTAATTCTTTTCATATTCAATTAGAAAACCAAAATGGGAAAATTACAAACCAAGTCATTATTTTCGTAGTTTGGATTTTTTGGGTCATGTAAAAGGAAAGCAGATGAAAATTCTGACACGACCGGAAAAGTCGTCGAGTCCCAGGATGATGGTTWAATGCCAGCAACGTCGTCAAAGCAGACCCTGCCGCAAACTCTACATGAACGCRAAGGTGAAACYAAAATACCACTTCGACTACACACTGTAGCATTCTGGTGTGACAGACGAGACATCGGTTCTCTTTATCTCCACTTTATTTCTATAACTTCGTGGTCACAGCCCGCTCCAGTTCTGTGACTGATATGTCTTTTTCGCTTAAGGCTCACACTCATTTCAGAGCATCGCTGGATACCCYTCTGCTGCAGAGTGGTGGAAATCTCTGCATGCAACTTGCCAGTTTCAAACAACTTTTTAATTCAATTTGCATATGGTTTCAGTGCGGCCATAGTGTCGAGACCAATTCACGGGGGATTGAATCACTGCGAATTTGTTGCAAGTTTATCTTGTGCAACACACCTGCTTTTTCATTTCCTATTTTTGATCTGAGCAAAAATTCCAAACTACGAAAAATGAAGAGTTTTTGTATCAGATTTTTTCAATTTTGGTTTTCTAATTGGGCCGAATGCTGCTTGTTCTGTGACAACAAAAAGAAGTACGGGGTAAATAAGCGCCAAAAAGCAAGGCACAAAAAACAGTTCAATCACTAAGCCAGGYTATGTTACCACACTAGTGAACACTAGTGAACAGGCGATCTAGCAAAGACGGGAGAGACGAGCTGGGGTCWTGTAGACTGAGTGGAGTTGATGAGGAGATGAAGCTCAGCTGCACAGGCAGACAACAGGAGGCCTCGCCCAGCTCCAGGTAGATATGGACAGTAAAGGAAAAAAAGAGGGGTAGAAAAACTGGTCCTTACACAAATACATATTTGACAAGCTGTAAACAGCAAATGTTTGACTTGTTCATATCAAAATAACTAAAAATATTTACAGCTTACAGGTTAATGACAGCTACATATTGATTTAATTTGTTTTATTTACATTTACTCAAACTGGTCTATCACTATCGGGCTTCACTCACATACARACATTCTGACATTCACCAATATTCCTCTGAGGGAATTGTTCTTAGGTAAGAASAGAATGTATGCACACGCAAAGCACACGTGCGCACACTTGAATAAAGAAGTGCTAATGCAAAAATAATCAGTTATCATTTTTCTTCAATTCCATAGTTGTATAATGATATTTAAATGACCACTCTAATTTAGCATTCATAATATTTTCCTGCCATGTTTCTTTATCGCTTATAATTATAAATAAAAAAGAAATGCATCACTTAAAAAGTACAGACAGATCACCTTTGCTGATCAGGAATAACTGGCATGCACTTTCACTTTACAGAGACAATGAGATTTAGTCACTATAAGAACACAGAACTTTCTTGAAAAACTAATTTTAGAAAAAAATTACAAAGATTTTGCTGAAAGAGGCCRAYTGTSTGTATGGTCATGAGCAMTTTTACKAGTATTACTGTCATTATGTAGCTGTCAGATTTATTAGCTMRATATTGCAATAGGACTATGATACTGTATTTTTTGTGTTATCTTACTCCAGGAATTGGCTATTCTATCATGGTGATCCAGCTGTATTCCAGACTCTACAGCATTGTCCTGGCCTGGGCCCTTCTCTACCTCATCAACTGTTTCAGGGCCACTCTGCCCTGGGCTACGTGCAACAATCCCTGGAACACAGGTCAGCATTGATTTTTCATTGATATACACTAAACCATGTGCATGGATCATTAGGGTTCATAAAGTGCAGAGCACAAGCACATTAAGCATGTGTCCAAAGCTTATCCGAAATTGGGTCTTAGAGGCAGCTGACAATTCCAGTCATTCCTCTGCCCAGCCATATATATATGAAGTCCCTCTAGCAATATCGGGTCTACCTCTGCATCTCCTCCCAGTTTGGTGTGTCTGGTAAACCTCCAATGGAAGGAACCCACAAGGAATCTTGATTATATGCCCATTGCCCAAGCCACCGCAACTGTCCCCTTTGCAGATCCAGTGCTCTGCATGACATCTATTGCACCTTTGAAATAGATCTGTCATTTGTGACTCTTTGAGGTTTCTATTTTTTTCAGCAGTTTTGGTAGTTTTTTGGGACTCGTTGAGGGTTAAGGGCAAATTGTGATTTGGGCTATATAATTTGGGCTAATAAAAATTCTTTATTGATTTTGTCATGAAGGAAAGCAGTTATACTCGAAGGTCCCCACAGACATCCACACTCCACCCTATCTCTATGGCTGAGCCCAGCCACTTGATGGAAAAAAAAATAATTTTGGGTACTTGTATTTGCAATCTTGTTTGTTTGGTCAATACCCAGAGCTCATGAACATAAATCAAGGTCAGAACATAAATGAACAGGTAAATCAAAAGCAAAGCCTTATAGCTCAGCTCTCTCTTCACCACAATGGTTCAGTACAACACTTGCATCACTGCTAATGCAGCACCAATCTGCCTGTCTATGTTGCTCTCCATGTTCCCCCAAGATGCTTCACATGGGGCAGCAATTTAACCTCTACCTGGAGAGAGCAATCCACCATATTACGGAAGAGAACCATGCTGATTCTTATCCTGCTGAAAACTGCCCCAGTGCACGCAAAAGGTCATGCTTTGATAAAGCAATCAGAATCACACTACAAAAAGCAGGGATGCAAACCTGATGTTCCCAAGGATTTCCAGGATCCCACAGGGTTTCCCCTGAGGACCCAGTAATATGCCCTCTCCAGATCCACAAAATAAATGAAGACTTAGTGATCATACTCCCACAACATCCACAGCATACCAGCAAGGGTAAAAAGATGGTCCACAATTCTATAGCCAGTAGAGAATCAATATTGCTTCTCCTGTATCGGAAAAAATCTTATCACAATATTTGTTTTCATATCAGTCGATATCGATATATATCARGATAGAAATCAAATAACCAGTAAATCCTTTTTTTTGTTCTTCTTATGTACAAATGGGMTTTTTTCCTATGCACAAAATAGTTTTTACCTGCTTGTAAAATCATCCTGTGCCACTGCACTTTATTTATACCATTTCATATAAACCACTACAGTGAAAAGGTGTATAWAATGTACTTACTGTARATTTTTATATTTAATTATTATTTTCTGTATTTATTCTACTCCCATTTTATGTTTCTTTATTCTCTTGTCTTGCTCATTCTGACCTGCCTTCTGCTGTAACAACTGAATGTTCCTGGTGTGTCTTATATTATTTTATCTTAAATCAGCTCCACTGCACTGAGGCACATTACTCCACTGGTCAACATGTGATTCTGCTCCTGTGCTCTTTTTTATTCACTCACACTTACAACTGATTTATAGAAATACTTGCTGAATTCATATTTATGTTCCTGGATAAACAGGGCGTTGCTTCTTCTGCAACAATTAAGTTAAAACACTGCGTTGCATCGTAATCTATGTCTCGCACTGTGTCGCAGTTTTAAACATGTGTCTCATAAACTCTAGGGCAAACCAAACAAACACAAAGTAAACATCAGTCATGTACYTGTCCTAATAACTTCTGATCAATTATGGTGTTTATTGTTAAAAGTGTKAAGAAGTTCCACCTCAAAAATTAAACAATCATCACGAAAGTCCAAAAAGTGTAGTGCAAGCGCAGGGTGTTGCCTGATTTTTCTACACTCCTTTATAGATATTAGGGCAGACCAGGGGTTTGATGTTTGTCTACTCCAACATCCATTTTGTTTGGTTGTGAGTGGTGTTTCAAATTGCTGAAAGATGTATTTTGTCAAGAGCATTTTTGCAAACGCATCGACAGTCATTTCACATAGGATTGATTATATTGTCCCTGTAAAAGTAGGAAAAAGAAATGAATGAAGTGGACACGATGTTGCTGGCTTCAAGTCCAAAGTGAGCAGCAAGCAACTAGTACCATCTACTGGCCAAACCCGGAACGCCAGTGTGATTACAACTTTATCTCTACACCAAAGCAATGGATTGCAGATATCACAGATGATTAAACCTTTGTGAATAAACATTAGGGAAATGACATGCATTTTTCCAGTGCATCTTCCCAAAATAATAAAGCAGATTTAAGTGTCTTTCTCACAAATTTCAACATTAAGGGCACAGTTTCCCATTAAATATCCATTACACTGACAGCCTTTATATGATCACTTTCTTAAGATAAGGGACATCAATTTTGTGAATGGTTTACCCAAATCTTTGTGTAACGATGCACTACTAAGACCCTAGAGAAGAACAATCTACTTAGACGACTTAARGAATGACACCAGTAATAATAGAGAATTACAAAAAGTTATTACAAAATACATTCATCATAGGAACCTGGGCTGCACACATGTAGTACAAAATCTGTTCATTCAAGGCAAAGCAAGTTGAAACTACCTTGTTTTGTTTAAAATCCAAGGGATGAATATGAGTTTACACTATTGGATAGACATTTTATTCCAGGTAGCAAAACATATTTTATTGATTGTAGCACACAATGTCATCACCAGGGTCTTCCAACAGCAGCCCGAGACAAACCATTCAGGTTTTAACACATTTATTGGAGAAAGGCAAACATACACATGGTGTGTAACACATGGTGTGTAACACATGGTGTGTAACACATGGTGTTAACACATGGTCCTGGGTCAGAAGACATACCTTCAACACCGACAGCATTGGTGAGATCCACACATTCAAGGTTTGCCATGTCTAGTAGAGGTCTCTAGTGATGCTCAGGAGCATGCAAATTTTCAATGCACGCACAAACAAAGCCATATTAATACTTGTGTCTCTTGGTTCTGACCTCAGGAACAACTAAAAGGTTTCAGTCAGTGGATATAATGGACCTAGTAGCAGTGTTCCASTTCACAATTCAAAGAACTAGTTCAAAGTTTAGTTCATGCAGATGAAAATGAACTAGTAAACGTTCATAGTTCTTTCTTTTTTTTATGTACATGCTCCAAACTTACAATCATGTGTTTAGTTATTAATCGATGGTGTCAATTTAACACTGACTCCTGACTATGCGTCATGTCTCATGTTGTACTGAGCACAACATGTTGACAAGTCATTTTTCATGATGTTTAAATGAGTCTCATGAACTCTGGAATCAAACAAACACTGAGTTACTTCATGTACTGATCAGGTCCTGATAACTACTGATGAGTGTTTATGAGTTAAAGTGAGAGCAGGTCAGAGTGGAGGAGGAAACAGAAACTCCAGCTCAGTTTTCACTGTTTCCACTGTTCAACAAAGTCCGGCTGCTTCACGTGAACGGGCTCTGATCTCACAGCGTGTGTCTCTCTGAGCGAGTCAGTTGGAGTGCAGCCCTGGGGCCTATGTGTGTGTGCACTGTCTGAAAGCACACACACATTGTCATGAGAGGTTACTTGGGTGGGGTAGTGCAATATAACTGAAAAAACAGAAGGTGAAGTTGTATTTTTCCYTAAAAWCGAAACTCTCAATCAGATTCTAGTCCAACYACAAACATWAAACCTCCTGGAGAAAGTGGTTCTTTACACTCAACAGAATTAGATTACATTAGAATGTTCATTTTACCCTAACTATTTCCTCTTAATAGTTCTTAGTCAGTTGTTGTACTTTCCTGAATTTAGTTTTCCCGTTCAAAGTCAGTTTGCCCAGCTCCTTCTAGRCGTGTGCTCTCTGTCTCTTTGCCTCTCTCCTCTCCTCTGTGAAGCTCTTCAGTCCTGCTTCAATTCCATGGCTTACACACCTGCAGCTGGSTGGGTGATGAGGCATTCTGGGAGATGAAGTGTGTGCATCGGTGGCCATTTTGTGATGTGGCAGCCYATCCTGTATGGAAATGTAGCACCCCTCTACATGACCCCTTGTGATGCCACTATATAATAAGACTAATTTTAATTTTAATCTTTACTTTTCAAAAGAAAGGGCTTTTTCATAACTCTGCGACAAAAATGAACAAACTTACCTGAGATATCACTGGGGTACTTATACTTACTTGTTGTTTTGATGCAGTGAAAAAGGATTGGATCTTTTCTCCACAGGTTATTCACACTAGTAGTAGAGAAGCAACACTCATTAATCAAGCTAAGGCAAATAAGATGCTAATTATATTTAGCCCCAAAGATGCAGTTGTCTAATATTTTGCTGTCACTGTGTAAAAGTCAGCCAGCAGTCTTGTTGTAATCATAGTCCATGATCAGCTGACACGATCCATCATAGGCCTGGAATTACGCATCACAATAGGAAATTTAAGGTTGGTATAATAACAATAATACAAATAATTCTGTAACAGCCATTGCCTGTTAACCCCAGGTCCCCTCGTCAGTGAACCACAATTTTTAATTATAATAGTATTTATTTTGAATTTTACAGACACACAGCCATGCGCACGCACACACACACACACACACACACACACACTATTGCTCTTTCGAGCAACCCCCTGGTCATCTTCTGAAGTCTGTGTCAGGATGATGTTGTTGCCTGAGGCTAGGCTGGGAATGTCCACTACACCAAAATATAAAATAATTCCTTTACCTTGATTGCTCTCTTTTTATGCAATCAGAGTCTCTCTCCCATGACACCAATTACCCAGCGGCTGTTGTCCATTCTCATAGAGAAATTGCTGCACATAGATGCACTGTATATAAATGTGTGAATTTAAAAAACTGTAAAGCGCTTTGAGTGGTCATCAGGACTAGAAAAGCGTTATATAAATACAGACCATTGACCATTTACCCTCCTTTGACAACAGACATACAAAAAAGGTAACTTTTGCTCAAACAGAGTTCTTATACCCCTGCCCCTCCACCCTTTCTGGCTTCACTTTAGCGCTGGGCAGTAGTGATATGCTTGACATTGACCCAAATGTTTGACTTTATTTAATTTACTGTGGCATCGTCAGACTCTTTCATTATTGGACAGGATTCCGAATACAACATTTTTGTTGGACTATTTATTTGATTGAATTGAAGGTGAAGAATGGGGCCAGTAAGGGTTCAGCTTCATATTTGCCCAATTTCACATTGATTGGGATGTACAAAGAAATGATGAGTCACATGTATGCATAGCTTCATACATTCTAATTTTATAAGCATAATTATTTGTTATTCTCTCAACAGACAGATGTGTGGACCTCACCTCTGTAAACTGGACTTCAGTACACAGTGGCAACCTACCAGTAAATTGGACATCTGATAATCTCACCAAGTCTTCGGTCTCTGAGTTCTGGGAGTGAGTCTAATGTCACACTGAGCTCATTATAAATTAAGTAGGGTGGCAGTAATCGATTACATGTGTAAAGTGTACTCTGTACTTCTTGAAGACAGTGATTCGACACATGTGTAACCACCACTCACTGTCTGGTGTCCCCACACAGGAGAGGAGTGTTGTCCATGTCCGGGGGAATAGACGAGGTTGGCACAGTGAAATGGGAGCTGCTGTTGTGTCTCCTGGCCTGCTGGGTGGCCTGTTACTTCTGCATTTGGAAAGGTGTTCGCTCCACAGGAAAGGTCTGTTAAGAGATCAGATGTGCAACTTTTGCTGGAAATGTTATTAGGTGTAAGAAATGGAGACCTGTTTTTGTATCCAGCATCTCTGGTATTTTCAGTTGAGGGCTACAAAAGTACTTGATCAGGAAAACTTCATGCTTCTTGAGAATTGAGATTGATTTATTTTTATATTTATATTCCATTTACATACATAACTCTTTCTAGGCTTAGGGTTAGGGCCCATCTCGCTTCTTAGGGTTTGTCTCATTCTCTGTATCCAAACAAATATGGATCATCAGCATGTCACTTAATCACATGATGTAGCCTCTTAGACTTTAGTTCACTGACTCTGATTGAGGCCACACCATGGTGGAAACATTTGCAATTACAAGTCAATTAAAACATCCTCATGCACCACGGTGCACCGTGCAAAGCACAGTGAAGTGTCCAGTGCACAGGGACAGTGACTTTGCACATTTGGCAAACTGGTGACAGGATATGCCTGGCACATCTTCTACCATGGAGAAATTGAGATGTGCTTGGTGTGTTACCGACGAAAATTAACCAAACATTATATTAAACATACCTTATCCTTCCCTGTAAGGAGTGCACTACACAACAGTGTAGAGTCATTTTGGCAAGGGGTGACTGCTCAAGTCCTAGAGTGAGAGAGGGGGGCTGTCAAAAGTGGCAACCAAGAGTGACGTTTTGAAGCCAAGACTTTTGAATTTGATCAATGCCATCTTGGCATTTTGAAGCCAGGCTGAGGTAACCATATTTAGACAAAAAGCAGGAGCTGGGTCTGACCTCTGACCTCTCATCCCGAGGACTTTAAACACGCCCACCTACACCAGCTACTGACTGCACTGTGAAGTAGCTGCTAACACAGTTAGCTTCCATCATCTGAGGTAAAGTTTGTAACATCCACATATTTCCACAGAGTTGTAGCTGAAGTTAGCCGGTAAGCTAATGTAAAAAAAATTCTAATACTGTGTTTTAATCAGCTGTTCCATTAACTGTAATGAATAATGGCTCCTGGACTTTTGCATCTTAACTCTATACCATCATTAAAGTCTTAACTACACACTGTTAAACATTTTAAATGTAAGAGCAGCTTGTGTTTAGGCTTTGGATGTTACTCTTACAGTTAACAGATGACTGCATCAAGTGCTGTAAGATTTATATGAAATACTACTTTACTATTGTGCTTTCTCAATTCTAACTTTTCTACTGTGAATTTTACTCACTAAATATTAAGCACGAGAGATTCACCTTCCTACAGTGAAGATAATTTATACCTTGACATTTTATGACAATGAAAACATTAATTCACCAAAGTGTCCTGTTTGATTTATAAGGGAAACAGATAAATGTGCATCTGTAGTCAATTGAAAATGTACTCAGTATCAGAGGTTAAATAAACACATTAAGAGTTAAGTGTAAACAGCAGTAAACATTTGTTATAGTAACAATTAATCCCAGTGAACTTCAGGTTGTACAGTTCCGGCTGTTTATGATTGAGGACTCGTCATGTCACATTGGTAAACACTTACCTGTGAAGGTTGTGACTGCTGAAGTTGACCTATTCACTAATTCTAAGTAAATAATTTGCAAGTTATGTTTTAAAAATGTTACTACCACCTCTAAAAACAGCAGAAATTAAGTAAAAGATAAGAAACTGAATCTGATAATATAGAGAATCAAACACAAAGGTCTGTTGGTCTGTCATTGACATCATRATCTCATTAAAGAAGTAAGGATGTTGTTAACCAGTCTTCTCCACATCCTGAAGCATGGCATATATACAAAAGCGTGTCAGCAGAGAGAAATAGAAACAATTATTAATTAATTAATTAATTATTTGGGAACAATCAGACATTAGCAAATCAGAATTAAATAATCAGATTAAAGTAGAAATAAAGACACTGGCACCAACAACCACAGCCCAGGAGAAATCATAAAAATACAATGTAATCATAAAAATATAGTTAACGTACTGTGTTTTTCCTACACAGTCAGTATAATCCGGCTGCTACATAGACTTACACACAACTTTTTACCTGATTAAGTTTAAACATACAGCAGTAAAAAAGTTAATGCTACTGTTTAACCACATGCAAGAAGTTACCTAAATATTATGTTAAACTGAACAATCACCACGTCTTCATGGACTTTATAAATGTACCTTTTTATCGGGCTTAACATTAACACCTGGTTAACACAGGTTAGCAGCCCTGAGGGAACCGGTAAGCCCAGCATTGCAATGATATCAGGTCATTAGCTWGCTTGGTTAGCATAGGGGTATTTAAGGAGCATAGGGGCAGTTCTTCTGTAGCCTGACACAGCAATATGCTATCTAACCACTGCAATTTTCAGGTGGTGTATGTCACAGCAGTGTTCCCCTATGTAATGCTGGCCATCTTGCTGGTCAGGGGGTTGACGCTGCCAGGAGCCTGGCAGGGTGTGGTCTATTACCTTTATCCAGAACCTTCTCGTCTGGCAGACCTTCAAGTAAGACACACTATAAACAAGTTTTACAATAATTTTTTCTGAAATGTGGCATTTGTGAAAACATCACAAAGGGGCTGCTGTTGTTTTCAACAGCAGCTCCTTTGACACAATGCTGTTTATCAGGTGTGGATGGAAGCCTGTGCTCAGGTCCTCTTCTCCTATGGTGTTGGAGCAGGGACCTTAATCACCCTGGGCAGCTACAACAAAGTTGAGAACAACTGTTACAGGTAAACTAAGTGATGAGTATGTCATGTATGAGAAAGCTGGAGGACCCAAACGCAGTAGCCAAAAAAGAACCAAAACAATAAGAAACACTAATAAGATAAGGCTGGAAAACGTGACTGAAAATTGCAAGGAATCAGAAGAACAAGAGGACATGAGAAACACTGTGATAATGCACCAGGGAAACACGGAGAACATAACAAATTGACAAGGACAAGGGGAATCACAGAGACTTATATAGACAAGGGAGGCAGGGATAATTTAATACAGGTGAAACACATTAGGAACACATGCAGACAACCGTAGGGGTGTGTAACAGGACAAAGACAGGAAGTTAAGCTACAGAAGGAACATAATTTCAACTAAAACAGAAAGCTGAGAACTCAGGGGAAAACAACTGAACACAAACCTAAACACAAAGAAACAAAGGTAAAGGTCAATAAACCAAAAAGTCCATAAAACAAAACCAGAATAGTCTTTCGGTTTTATTTCCAACGGCAGAATCATGACACAGTAGTTCTGCTGATACATTGGTGAAGTTGTGTTTTTTGAGTCCGACCATCAGTTTGCATAAGTATTATTAACTCACAATTATCCACTGGCCTTGAAGTGGTTGGAAAGTTTACCTGACATTTACCAAATCAACCATGTGCAAACTCATGAACCACGGTTATGATCCCTTAAAGCATTGTTTGGCTTGTCACACRACTCACCATCTCCATGCTCACTGTCTGGGAGAGACGAAAGATCCCTCATTGAAGAAGATTGCATTTTCGAAACTCAGGATGACAAGGAAGGGTCAGCAGAAGAGAGCTGCAATTCCAGCCGTTGTTCTCATCTAAACTACATACAGTAGTATGACCTCTCACAGCATGCATGCTTGCCTTCTTTAGATTATTTTAGAACTCAGCAGCATGCTCGCTGCTACACATAGATATGTAAAATTACAGCAGCATGATCTCTCGCAGGATGCATGCTCACATTCTTATTCAATAATTTTAGATGTCAGTAGCATGCTTGCTTCTTCACGTGGATATTTTATATAACAGCAGTATGACCTCTCACATMCCTGCATTCTTTAGATACTTTTAGAGGTCAGCAGCATGCTTGCTTGAGATCCAACAGCAGGACAGATTGTGTTCTTTACAGGACAGAATACATTTTCTTGCTCCCTTTTCCTCTGTATAATAAACTGTGTGTGCGTGTGTGGGRGTCCCCGTGTGTGTATCTGTGTGTATGAATATACGTCTGTGTGTTTATGTGCGCATGTGTGTAGGGACAGTGTGTGGTTGTGTGTGCTCAACAGTTGTACCAGCTTCATTGCTGGGTTTGCAGTTTTCTCCGCTCTGGGTTTCATGGCTCAGGCWCAGGGAATTCCCATCAACATGGTTGTCAAATCAGGTATGATTTAAACCTTAACGCTACTGTCTGTGCTTAACATGAATGTGGGAATACTCGGCCCTCACATATTCACTACAAATGGGGATAGATCAAAAACGAGGCAAGTGGAGAGGATGACAACTAAAATGTTACTTCTTTTCTCTAAGGACCTGGGCTGGCGTTCATTGCTTTTCCTCAGGCTGTGGCCATGATGCCCCTGCCTCAGTTGTGGGCTGTTTGTTTCTTCATCATGCTCATTATGTTGGGGCTTGACACAGCGGTAAGATGAAGAAGATTTCTCACTTCAATGGGATAGCAGAATTTTGGACCCRACTGCATTTGATCTGGTTTTTAATCATTCCCCGGTTGTAGCTCTATTGCCATGTTGGTAACCAGGTCCAAACTGAAATATYCATTCCAATTCTTTTTTTTTGAGAATTAATCTTACCTTAGTGACTTGGGCTTCAGAAAAATGTCATGACCCATGATTGATGGATTCTCATCAATTTTTGTGAGTGCCTAAAAGATTAATCATCACTTTTGTGATGATCGGCTCAAAATGTCCAGGTGTCAAAATATTTTTGTTTATGAGCAAATACCTGCAAAACCATCTTAGTCCAATCATGTCAGATGAAGGACACCTCCACTTGGGGCATCAGCATGAACAAAGAGCTGGGGGTAACATGCTATTATATAATAAAGATGGTATACAGGTTTTCATCAAGTTCTCAAAGGTAYTGTATTACTTAATGTTCCTTTTCAGGAACAATTAATCAGACAACCACTAACAATGCTTTGATTATCATTTAGTTACTGCCCTGTTAGATATAAATTTGCAAAAAACATGGCAGAGCCAGTGAAAGAKACAATTTTGTGGATACGCTGAGTCTTCTGTCAACAATGTTTTGACCCATTTGCACTTTAGAGTAACCAAACTGTTGGATAGTAAACATTTTTTTCAGTACATGTGAGAATTGAACAGCTTTTGGTTTATACGCTATCAACATTAAAAAGAAAGTTGCACCATGATCAGTGTATTACACCCATCAGTCCTTTATGAAGATATCTCAACTGCTTTAATGAGTTGGTCATTGACCACAGTTGATGTTTCGGGACTTTTAGGGTTTCGACAGTATCAACAAGGAATAGTACATGTGTGATAATAAACAGAGAAAGCTGTTTCAGTCAATTAGATGCTCAAACTTTGAAGACTACTGTAAAWTTCAATATGACGAGGATGGGATTCAAACCTTCGGTGCGGAGCAAAATGGATATGCAGTCCATCACCTTGACCACACGACCACTTTGTCCTGTTTTGGGTGAACTTTATTTTCTGAGTGTCAAACTGTTCCTGTTCTTAAGAGGGTTGTTACAATGGTGACAAGTTACTATGGAAACAGCAAGAAGAGTAAAAACTATTGTGACAAAGATGGGATTTGAACCCTTGTGTGCAGACCACAATGGATTAGCAGTTCTTTCTTGGGGTACAATTTAGGGGATTACAGGGCTCTAACTAATGTTTTCTGGTATTGTACATGTGTACATAAGCAATTGAACTTGCCTGTGTTTCTTGAAGATGTTTCACTTGTCATCCAAGAAGCACCACAGTTTTCAAAAAGAACTGATTTACTGAAAGAAATAAACATTGTACAAATATATAAAATGTCTTTCTYCCAACATCTGTAATATTCAAGGTGATAATCACTCACAGTGCTGTTGATAACAMTCCACATCAAATCCCTCAACTTCTCTCAGTGTGAAAACAGATAAATGTATAATGAATATGAGAACTGTTTTCAACAGTGGTGTGTGGAGATTATAATCACATTTAAACTGTCATATAATTACARATCTGCACTGAGTCTAATTCACTGTAAATTCCAAAACAGGCTTAAAAAAACGAGGTGGTAATAGTAATGGTGGTTACACGAGTCTGTATCAGATCATTTAGGAACTTACTATCAAATGCACCTTACACATTATATTTTTCATTCAGCTGGCGCTTTTATCCAAAGAGACTTACAATAAGTGCATTCAACCATGACGGTACAAACCCAGAACAGCAAGAATCAAGTTAGTACAATTTGCTTCAAAAATGCCAAACTACATGTGCTACATTTAAATGTCATATAAGTGCAACTAAACTGAATTTTTAACCAAGGTGTAGTCAGAAGAGTTTTTAGTCTGCAGCGGAATGTCAATGGGAAGCTCATTCCACCATTTAGGAGCCAGGACAGCAAGCAGTGGCTAGCAAGCCGATTGGCAGATGCAGAATGGAGTGGARGGGCTGGGGTGTAAGGTTTGACCATATCCTGGATGTAGACTGGACCTGATCTGTTCACTGCTAAGWSKAGTCYAGCTGTTGCATTCTGGATGAGCTGCAGAGGTTGGATAGCATTAGCAGGCAGACCAYCCAGGAGGGAGTTGCAGTWGTCAGGCATGAGATGACAAGAGCCTGGACCAGAACCTATGCTGCCTTCTGAGTGAGAAAGGGGACGTATTCTCCTAATTTTGTGCAGCATGTATCTACACGATAGATACAATGTTGGTGGTAAGGGAGAGTTGACTATTGAGTGTTGCACCCAGGTTCCTAGCAATCTGGGTGGGGGCTGGCACGGAYTTGTCAATTGTAATAGTAAGGTCATGGGTGGGAGAGCCTTTCTCTGGTAGGAAAAGTATTACGGTCTAGTCAAGGTTGATTTTCAGGTAGTGTGCAGACATCCTCAGAGAGATGTCAGTCAGACAGCCAGAGATTTGTGCTGCTACCTGTATTTCAGATTTCAGACAGGATTAGTTATGTGTCATCTGTGTAGCTGTGGTAGGAAAAGCCATGTGAGTAAAAGATAGAGCCAGGAGAGTTGGTGTACACAGAGAAGAGGAGAGGACCCAGGACGGAACCTTGAGGGACCCCAGTAGTGAGAGGACAAGGTTCTGACACAGATCATCTCTAAGTTACYTAAGTGCGGTCATTGAGGTAGGATGAGAGCAGGGAGAGAGCAGAGCGTCAGACATCCAGATCCTGAAGGGAGGAAATAAGGATCTGGTGGTTCACTGTGTCAAATGCAGCAGAAAGGTCTAGAAGGATGCGGACAGAGGAGAGAGAGGCTGCTCTCGCAGTGTGAAGTTGCTCAGAGACAGCAAGGAGGACAGTCTCAGTTGAGTGGCCTGCCTTGAAAACAGACTGGTGAGGATCAAGACGGTTGTTCTGGTGAAGATGAGAGGAGAGTTGATTAYAGATAGCACACTCAAGTGCTTTGGAGAGAAAAGGAAGAAGATAGACAGGTCTGTAGTTGTTTACTTRAGACAGGTTGAGGGTGGGTTTACTCTTGCCTCCTTCAGAGAGTTAGGGAAACAGCAAGTTGACAGGTAAGTGTTAATGAGATGGGTGAGAAAAGTAAGAATGTCGGGAGCAATAGACTGGAGAATGTGAGAAGGGATGGGGTTAAGGGGGCAGGTGGTTGGGCTGGCGGAGGTTACCAGGGTAAGAACTTGARTGGGAGACTGGGGTAGAAAGAGGAAAGAGGYGATTTGGATGAAGATGAAGTTGATGGAAATAGTAGTTTTTTCGGAGAGTTTTTTGGGTTTGGAAAATGAGGATTGAATTTTAGTTTGATAAAAACTGCTTTTGGCTACAGAAATAGTGGCAGAGAAGGAGTAGAGAAGAGATTGATAAGTGAGCAGGTAATCAGGGTGTTGAGATTTTCACCATTTCCTTTCTGATGCTTTCATAGTGGCTCTGTCAGCACACACCYAGTCAYACAACCACGGAGCTGAGGAGGACTTGCYAATCTGTCGTGAAGTAAAAGGACAGAGRGAATTAAGAGAGGAGGACAGAGTAGAGAGGTGTCCYTGGCAGACTTAGGATGCATGAGTTAGAAAGAGTTAGATAAAGTGAGYGATAATAAAACGTTAGGGCCAGAGAGGAGGGAGCGAATGTTGTGACGGACAGGTGCAGAGTCTGTTGATGTGGTAGGGTTGTAAGATTGTGACAGTGGGAGAAAGTAAGAGTCAGAGAGGGGTTACAGGGAGGTTAGGGGTAGAGCAGGTTCTGGTGAAAATAAGGTCAAGGTGGTTACCAGCTTTGTGAGTAGGAGGGGAAGGACTGAGTGAGAGAGTAAATGTAGTTGTAGCATATCACTGTAGCTTKTTGACATTAACTMATTAAAATTACAATRGAGTAACAACTAAACACATGACTGCTAAAGTGATGTGAAAACTTAGACGGAGGTAGTTAACTTGCTTCAAACTGTTCTTTAGATGTGTTAAATAAATGGTAAATTACCARAATAACATATTAAAAACCACTTGAGGCTTGTAAGCATATGTAGTACGATTATAATAATAGATAAATCAATAGGTTTTGTTGTTGTATAGTTTCAGGGTAACTTACCTTTTGTTAAGTTTGTTGTGACAATCGTGGCCATCTCGAAGCATACACACACGCTAGCCAGTCAGCAGCAGCATGTAGCCTATCTCATTAGCCTGAGCTAACCAGGTAACGTTAAACTCTGTGGGCATGGCTCAGTTGTCAGTCTTCACTCAACCCARCTCAGCTCAACTCAATGGTGTGACGCATTAGGGTCACAAGCAGTCTCAGGATAGGCAAAAGGCCACAGAGGTGAAATACCTGAATTCTCCCACTACTATGTTAGAACCTAAAGAGGATCGATAAACAGAAGTGACCTGTTTTCAAGTAACCAAAGAAAGCCTATGCACACWTGTGTGCAGAGGTTGGATACTGACATGTTTCATGTTGAGGTACAAGACAGTGGATGTCACTCACAAGGAGGAACATTTAGAATGTTTAGATATACCTATTCACATAATATTAGCAATACCTCTACCATTTCAATTGTCATTACTTCTCCCTTCATCTCTGACAGATTTTATTTTGTATAAATTCTTTAAACATTGATACACATCTCCATTTATCTGAGACACTATCTTCTCTAATAAATGTCGTAAATATTATTTTGTTGAAATGCACTTGGTAGTTTTTCCTTATTCTGGTTAATAGACAATTTGTTATTTGTGAATAATTTGGTCAATACAAAAACAATTTGATTTATTGATGTATACCAATACATTTTATMTTTTTATTTGAAAAAGAACAGTCATGGTACTATTGACAGTGCATAAAAGCAGAATGGAGTTTGGAAACATGCATCTTGACTAAGTACAATACTTCTTGGAATATTTGCTGGGGATAGATGAAATTAAATGAGAGCTTTATGGTTTTGGTTTTCAAAGAAAAGAGCACCATCTTAACTGAGAAACATGGAGGAGGCAGGAGACTATTCTTTATGCATGTTTGACATAATAATCTGTTATTCAGGTATTCTCCCTTCTGTCTATTTCTATGTTAGTTTGCAGGTTTGGAAACAATAACATCATCAGTGATTGACATGTTCCCAGGAACGATGCGCAGACCCTGGCGTAGAGAAATCTTCCTCCTCCTCTTCTGCTCTATCTGCTTCATATTACAAATCCCTCTCACCACTCAGGTACAAAACAATGATGCAAACTTACCCAAACCACCTAACATTCATTCAATTCTCATAAGCTGTGTCCCAATTCAGTGGCTGCTTCCTTCAAAGGCTGCATTTGAAAACAAATCGTGGTGCYATWAGAAGGTTTCTTCAAAAAATATGTATTAGCAGCAAAATGTACTTAAAATAGAAAAAGTAAAAGTACTCATGTCGTCAAATGGTATCTATCAGTGTTTGATTATTAATATGGCTAATTTTAGTTAATATTACTGCTGTATTCATGGATGCTTAAAGTTGAGCTAGTTTAACTACTTTATTCATGAATTCAACATTTTCTAAAAGCAATAAATGTATATATAGATAGGTAGTTTTCAATGGACAGGAAAGGTATTGAAAATTGTAAGTAACTACTTTTTGCTGCATGTTAGGTACAGGAAGCATATTTCAATCTCAAATGAAGTGGAGTTGAAGTTGCATAAAATACAAATACATACAAATACAAATACTTACAAATTTGCATTTAGATGCAATGCATGACTTAAAGTATTTAGTAATGTTCCACTTTGAAATATGCAGTTGTCAAAGTGAAATGACATTGAGTAACCATTGTTAATTAGCTAAGGTTCATTGATGGCTAAATGCATTCAGATTAACCAGGTTATTTTACCTGGCCATGGTCCCCTCTTGAGATACATCACATGCTGATAGTGGCGCTTAATCATTTTTGATCAAACAAAGAACTTTCTCATCTTTCAGCTGCACCTCTGTTGCTAGGCGACAACAATACGCCAAATGGTTTGTATTTATAGACAGCTTTTCTAGTCTTGATTAAGCTCTCAAAGTGCTTTATAGTACAGATTTTTTACCATTCCCCCATACATTCATAGAGTGCATTTATGGGCAGCACTATTTCTATCAGTATGGCACAGGGATTGAACCGCTGACCTTCCGGTTAAACAACAACCCACTCTAGCCCCTAATCCACAGCCACCCAGGTAAGGCAAGTAAGGTACAAACACCACAAGCTGGTCTTGCAATTGGAAATCGTCTGTAGACAAGACCATGAAATGTAGGTTGGCCTTCATGGTCTGCACCCATCCTTCGAAGGATGCTGCCCCTGAATTGGGACACAGCTATACTGGAGTATTTTAAGTGACACTCTATATGTATGTCCCTGTTCTCCAGGGAGGAATCTATCTTTTCCAGTTGGTTGATTACTACGGCGCTAATGGAGCATGCATGTTATTTGTGTCTATGATCCAGTGTGTGGCTGTTGGGTGGGCCTTTGGTAAGTTGTAATGTTCTGTAAGTTCTTTAGTTTTCAATTAATATTCAAAACTGTTTTGTTTGTATACAGCACCAAGCAGATTTTCAATGCACTTTAAGTAGTAAGGTCAAGACCAAGATTCCACTCTTGGTCCATAACTATTTTGCTTATGTATGATATAACTGGGAAAAGTATTAGTGACCATGGTGTGAACTATCATTGTTATGACGATGATGATGATACTCAATTATATATATCCGTAGCACCAGATGACTCTGATGCTCCAAACCAAGTTATACATTTTCTCTTCAGCGTTGAAAATGGATATGCATTCATTTTCTCAAATTAAACAAAGATAAAACTGAAATTATTGTATTTGGTACTGATGATCAGAGGCAAAACATTATGAGCAAAGTTCGAAGTTTGGCACATCTCAACAAATCAACAAATCAAGAACCTGGGTGTTACACTTGACTCTGAACTTGATTTTAATTCACACATAAACAATGTCAGACAGATTGCCTTCATCATTTAAGAAACAATGCAAGGGTAAGACCATACCTCACTCTGAAAGATGACAAAAAGTTCACTCATACTTTTTTACTTTCTCACCTTGACTACTGTAATGCACTATATTCAGGATTACCAAAAAAATCCATTGATCTACTACAGCTTGTACAAATTCAGCAGCCAGGGTTTTAACGAGAAATAGGAAAAGAGATCACATAACTCTAGTTTTGGCGTCTTTACACTGGCTTCCAGTATCACTGAAGATTTATTTTAAATTGATTTTACTTGTTTTTAAGTCTCTTAATGGTAGATGTAGCGCCCAGGTATGGATGGAGGATGCGATTTGGCACTGAAGACTTAGATAAAAAGCAATACTGAAGAAGCAGGACTAGAAAAAGCTGTAGCCTTGCCACAATCTCCTCTCTCCCCCTCTTTACTACTCACTGGCATTTTGCTTCATAGCCTCACCTGCCTTGAACCTACCACCTGCGCTGGTAAGTATAAGGTGAGCTAAAAAGAAAGAGAAGTAGAAACCACACTCAAGACAAGACCAAGTTTGGACTCTGGGTTACTGCTGACCTCACAATTTAACCTATCTGCACAAATATGGGAAATATATGCAATGGGTTGACTAAAATGTAATTCAATGCAGCACATGTCACCCATTRTCTGTCACTTTGAATGTGACCAGCCCCTCCTTTCTCAGAGCCCTGATCATTCACACCTGTTGTCACTCTCCCTGATTGACCTGCTGATCTGAGCCCATTTACCTGCAAAACAGTCAAACAGAGAAACATCACAAACATAACAGAATAAACTGTGAACACATACTTGCTGCAAGCGAATACAACACACAACCCAAAAAAAGATTATCTACATAATCTAATTGATAATCAAAATGCAAATAATTATCAAGCTATCACATGTTTAAAGGTCCAGTGTGTAAGATTTAGGTGAAAGGGAACTATTGGCAGAAATAAAATGAAGAATAATCCTCATGATTTTTTCACTAGTTTGTCTCATCTACATAGTATGAATTGTAGTTTTCTTTACCCCAGAAAAGATCCTTTATATTTAAATATTTTATATTTACATCGAGGGGGTCCTCTCTACGGAGGCCACCATGTTTTTTACATTAGTCCAGACTGGACAGACTTAACGCCTTTTGAGTTTTTATGACAACTGAAGCTGAAGCGGTTTCTTTTTCATGTATGTTTTTGAGGTGAGGGGTGTTCAGCTGCAACATGCAATTTCAACACTAGATATCACAAAATTCTACACACTGTACCTTTAATGTAGGGAGACATAAACTCCCACCARACATCAGACAAGCTTCTTCTGTTGATAGTTTTAAGAAACAACTCAAGACATTTTTTTACAATCTTGCTTTTAATAAATTGTATCTAGGTCTTGTTTTATTGCTACCATGTACTTATTGATCTCTTATTTCATGTCTTTGATTTTATCATAAAGCATTTTGCAACAATTATCTTGCAACAGTGGGCAGAGTCTGTAAATGAGGCTGCAGCCTTTCAAGATTTTGCCAGCTTGTAAATTTTTTCTGGAAACCTCTTCCTTTGGCAGAACCCGATCATCTCCAGTTCAGCTTTCACAAGCTCCTCCACTGACAGACAACTTGGAACTGTCCTCCTCTTGAAAATGTCCACTTCCATCTTTAATGATCATCTTTGTTGTTTCACATCTAAGTCAGACTGTGCAAGGGCTGTGCTCAGTTGTCTCCTTTTCTCGGAACAAGCCAAAAACCAGTTCTTAAACCTCAAAATCCATGCAGCAGACCTTTTCTGACACGTCCAAGATGAGAAATTATGGATCATGCTAGTAACAGCATCAACTTCTTCTCCAGTCTGTACAGCATTCACTGCAATTGTGTTTTGACCTCAGGGTCCCCTGATTGAAGTTGATTAAGTGGACCTGACACCCATGTTGTATTCTTGAGAAATGAATCTACTTTCAAACCTCTAGATGTGACATCAGCTGGGTTGCTTGCAGTGTCCACATACCTCCATTGGGAAGGTTGCGAAGCCTTGAGAATTTCTGAGACTCGGTTGGCAAAAAAGACTTGAGGTCTCATTTTTTATGTATTTCAGTACAGATTCTGTTAGTCCAAAACACAGAAACCTGCAACATCAATGCAACTTGCCACTGTGGCAGCAATGAGCTCCATTTGAGGGATAGTCAGAGACCTAAGTGGAGCCACCCTAGCTTTTCCCATGACAAAAATTACTGTGTACTCYTCAATGTCAATTTTATTTAAATAGCACATTTAAAACCACTTYGTTGACAAAGGCTTAACAGCTATACGGTAACAAGAAGACAGTAACATGCAATGCATCTGAGTAGTAAACTAAAATAAGATAGAAAGTAGAATAATTAAAATTAAAATACAATAAAGTAAAATATAATATATAACATAATATAATAAAATAGCTGCTGTGATAAGAACGTTCTCACTGGAGTGTGAATATAGAAAAGTTCAATACAAATTTTAAAATCGATCCTGTGACGAACAGGAAGCCAGTGGAGGAAGTGCAGCATAGCTGTAAGTTTAATAGACGACTGGTCCCATACAGAGAATTGCAGTAGTCAAGACAAGAGGTGATGAAGGCATGGATCACCCTCCCCAGATCTTTTTTTGGGAGATAAGCCTTAACCTTCTGAAAAAAGCTACACTGAACAARAGAGGAAATTTGCTTGTCAAAATGAACCTCAAGACTCTTCACAGAGCAGTGAATATTAGGAGCTAGTGAGTATGGATTAKYTGATAGCAGGTAAGTCCCTACTCCGTGGCTGTCCTCCCTGAAATTCCGCTGTGGTGTGTTTGTTTCTCCAAAGTCAAGTGGTTTCAGACATCTCATGACATTAAAGTCCTCCAAACAACTGAGTTCCTGCAGCCACCTTATCCACTCCCCAGCCATGGATTCAGGTGTGATGTCATCACAGCCAAGTGCTCTCCTGCACAGATGCCTCAAGATTTTCTTAGCTGACAGCATAACATGGCTCAGGATTCCTAGGGAATCATAAATGGAGCTGACAGTTGAGAGAATTCCTCTCCTGGTCAAAGGTCTGTCATTGATCTTGATTACACTTAAAAGAGTCAGACTGAATGCACCATTCAACACTCTCTCCACAYGTAACAAACAAACAACTCTGATCTTCCTTTTGGTGGGATGGTAAACACTGTGGTGCAGGTTGTACCAGACCTTGCTGTCACTCCGTTCCAATTCCTTTTAAGGAACCCTTTAAGTAAAACCTTTGGTAAAAATATCATCATTTATGAAAGCACTGTAGTCTGTACTCCCTGTGGATCGGCATGTACTCCTGTGTGAATGTTTTGTGAAGTTTTTTGGCCCATGGTCCGTAAGAGAATTTGTGCCTTCTTCCCAGTGAGGCCAAGCTTGTTCATCAGATCTGTACAAAATACTGCTGTTAACTCTAATATCCTTTCTGCTTGGTCGGAGTCTTTTCCCTTTTCTTTGAAGGAATGTGATGTTTATTTAGATGTTGGAGACCACATTTTGCACAGGATATCTATTTTCTGCGTTCTTTACTGATGTGTCCAATAAACAAACAGTGGAAACAAACACCCTTTTCCCTCATGAAGCCTATCTTCTCTTTGTGAGGTCTCTTCTCCAGCTCCAGACATGCATCTGATATGTGTCTTCCCCCACAGCAAAGAGACATCAGTTTGAACTTCCTTCCTTTTAGTTCCAAATTGAGTTTTGCTATAGGGGCTACAGTTGTGGAATAGCTATTTCCTTTAATTCCAGAACAAGGTTGTGGTTTAAATTTGTTCACACCTTTGTTTATTGTCAAATATGTTGAAACATCCTGTATGTCTCCAAATACTAGGTCGGTTAGAATTCTCACTTGTCTCAGTTTGTGATGTCACTGAATGTGGCTCTGTGACGCTGCCTCTTTTTCTGTAGGCCCCGGTCTACAGGTCTCCATTTGTCCCTGAGTTTATAAGGCAACATATTGGCAGTTAGCTCTAGCTCATGCAAATATTCAATTCCTTCCATGGCGTTACAGCAACTTCTGAGGAAAAGGCTCTTTTCCTGAACAGCTTTTACATCTTCTGTTTTGATGGGTGGCAATGAAGGAGGTTTTTCCATATATGTAGATGCAACTTTGTGCTCATTTCCAAAATGCTCCAGCAATAAAGCAATTTAGCTTTAACATATCCTCTCTCTGGATTCAAGTGRTGGCAGCTTCTCACAAGTTTATTGGGGTGACCCTGTTAGGTTTCAGAGTTTGTTTGGACCCAAGCGCAGAGACAGATACACAAGGCAATAGTCTGAGTGGAAAGTTAAACCAGAGTTTATTGTCTGACAACAAGGTGGCACAAGGATGTGGTGAGGTAGTGGAGAGCGAATGATTTGCTCACAGAATCCAGTCCATGGGGAAGGAAAGCAGGCGAATGGCCCACACCTGCTGAGGGAAAACAAACAAGGGAAAAGCAGAGAAACACTGGAGGGCACAGAGGGGCTGTGACAGAACTTTAGTGTACTGCTCCAAGAAATAGAGTCGGTCACTATAGTTCTCAGGGCTCCTTTCCACACCATTCTCAAAGCCTTCATAAATACATGAAATTGTGATCTGTCTCTTTGGCAATGATGAGAYGAATTGCTGTTCTATCAAGAGTGTTGTTATAGGACCCGAGCACCGACAGTGCAAAGTCCCGAATGTTTTTCACATGATTTTTCAGGCAAATGAATTAAAAAATGACAGCTTATTAAAATGTTTGTTGCACGTTACGGTCTGATCGTGGTGTCAATGTTTGATGATTTGCCCAAAAAGAAGGATTTATTGTAACTCTGTGCATTGTCCATTCAGCCTCAAACCTCTATCACACAATCACAGTCCTGCCCTGATCAGATCCATATGTCAATATTGACTCATCAGTACAGCACCACCTGCTGGCGAAAGTGACATGTTTTATATTTTGTTACACTGCTGCTGGCTGCTTTACAATATACAGCTCAAATGAGCTCAGACAAGTCATGAGACCTTCATGATACTTCATGGTCAGAATTATGACTTTTCCTTAAACCAAAGTTTGATGTGTCGTCAAGGAGACATAGTTAATATAACTCCACTGTGCATTGTCCAATCAGCACCAAAATTCTGTCATATGATCAGAGTCCCAGCCTAGACAGCTCCATATGTCGATATTAACTAAGGGTCATAGCACCACCTACTGATCAGCGTCCTCCACAGTGACATTTGTGGAATAAATTAATCCACATTTGCATTGAGTTGTGCTTTTGATTTTCCTTTTTACAAATATAAGTTAATTGCATTTGAACACTTTGATATGGATTTCCTTTCCCATAGGATGCTCTGAGATCATAACACATTTAATTTAGCCATGTGAGCTGCAATTGTCCAAATTAAGCTGTTCCTTCCTTTGCTTTAGCCTCCTATATTCCTCCTGTTCTTCCAGGTTATGTTTGTCTTTTAATAGTTTCTGTCTTGCCATTAATGCTGCTAATTCGGCTTCTGCTTTAAGATGTGCAAAAGAAGATGTGGAAACAGCAGACTTTCCTCCAGTGGGAGAGTTATGTGATCCAGTTGCTCTGCTTCCCACATTTGACACACTATCGCTTGGTTTTTTGTTATCTTGCTCATCAACTGGCATGATTATGGATGCAGCCTGTGAAGGTTATTAAGTTAGAAGACAGAAAAGCGTTCCTTAATTTATTGCAGCAGGATTGGAATGACCAAGGCTGCTATGTTGCAGCTCCTCAGATTCATTCAACCACTGTTGACATCCTCATTCAATGCATCACTGTAATTTGCTTTGCTGGAAAACTATTCATTTTGTCTCTTTTTCTCCTCAGAGTGGGATTGGACATGGGGGACCTTTTCCTTTCTTTTCATCAGGGCCTAATAATTTCAATGACACACTAATTGAAAAATTTACAGAAATCTGGAAGAATGCCTTTGAACTTTTATTAAAGATAAAAGATGATCAACTTATTGGAACGTGCACAAACTCATAGATTAAAGCAATCACAGTGATCAAACAGTAAATAGCTTAGCAGTCAACAAAAAATGAGGCAACTCCACTCACCCTCTCTCCCTCCAAACAAAGGTGAACAGGTGCTCATATAAACTATAAACCCGCCCATATCCCATGTGACCTACTTCCTGCCAAATTAATATGATCACTCAAATAAACAGTAAATAACAAATAATCAAAATAATATCCCCAAAATACAAACTCATTACATCTTGTATGAAAACCAAAATAATAATATTCTTCTTTAGACCTGTTCATGGCTCCTAACTGTTATTACTAACTATGTTTTATTATTCAGGTGCTGAACGGATGTGTGATGCTGTTGAGGAAATGACAGGACAGAGGCCATGGTTTCTTTTCAAACTGTGTTGGCGTTACTTTACCCCACTGATCTGCATGGTGAGTTACACACTGTTAATAAAGCAAAGAAGCCAATTAGAGTGATTGCTAAAGTTAAGCAGTAATAAGAAGTTAAGAGTCCCTCCTAAATCAGTTTACATGGACAATTTCAGATTTTTTTACAAAAGAGCCTCAATCCTCTTTCCTAATTTCTCAACATTTCAGAAGTACCATGTTACCTCTCATCTGTGTTGACAGCATCATTCCCCTCATGCCCTCTACCTCAGCATACCATCATCACTGCAACATTAATATCCCTAATAAAGCTCCCTAATATGGAGCCCATCTGGTGACATAGGTGGAAAAAAAAAAATTCCGTGGACACAAATTAATAACGCGTGGGAATGAGATCCTATCCCGTGGCCACGACTTGTTTAATGCGTGGGAACAAGATGATTATTAGGTGGCCAAGAATTAATAAGACGCATGATGAAATCTATAACTTCCCCGAGGTCAGCATATTGTTTACGTTTGAGCCCGTGCTTTTTGAGCAGCTGAATTAAGTGTCTCTTGCTCAGAATTACTCCGTTTAACCGCAAGTGATTTCAGGACATTGTAACGCCGGCAGAAGTAATGAGGAGACAGGGCGTAATGTCTTCAGGACATTTATTTTGCCCTCCGTTCCACTCACACACACACACCGGCCCTGCCAAACCCACCAATCAACGACGCGCATACTCAGCATTTTCAACATGCACTTCCCTGATTGGCCGAGAGACAGACAGCCAGTCCAGCTGGACAGCAGGGTCACTACACTATCATTATAATTCATCCCTAGATTAGAATAAAACGAAATCAGATCAAACTTTTCCATTTTTGCGGCTGAAGCTACTGATGCCAGAAAGTCAACAGTCTCACTGATGAAATGACAAACATTTCTCGTGGCCACGTCTTATTAATTCGTGTTCACCTAATAATCATCTCGTTCCCACGCATTAAGTAAGTCACGGAAWTTTTTTTTTCCACCCATGTCACCAGACGGGCTCTGRACCCCAAACAACAAAGCACTGCTCATCCATGATGTGATGCATTAAGCATTTGAGTTTGGTAWTTTGYAAACTTGGCTGCTGGGATACACTGTACTGTTTTGTGAGCACATATTAAAGYTCCAGTGTGTAAGATTTAGGTGAAAAGGATCTATTGGTAGAAATRAAATAATTCTCATGATGTTTTCTCTAGTTCGTTTCATCTAAATTGTATGAATTGTAGTTTTCTTTACCCCAGAAARGGTCCTTTGTATTTAAATACTTTATATTTGCATCGAGGGGACCCTCTCTAGTGTTGTGCACTGCTCCATGTGGCGTCAAAATAATGTTATTATTACTGACTTTTCCTCACACGGAGCACCAAAAATGTTGGTATTAATGTTGTTATTATGTACTTTCCCTCGCGCGGGGTACAATTATGTACTTTCCTTCACGC